AAATAGAGAAATGAGAGAGGAGAAAAGGAGCGAATCACTGCTTACCCAAAGACTACCTCTGTTGGCCCAGGTGGATGGAGCATCATCCTGATAATGCCAAGGTTGCAGATTGATCTCTGGTCAGGGCATATACAAGAATCAACCAACAGGCCCTGACTCGTGAGGTTCCGTAGGTTGGTTGTACCTTGAGGACAGAAAGGTCACTGGCTTGATTCCCAGTCAGGGCACATGCCTGGGTTGTGGGTTTGGTCCCCAGTTGGGGTGCGTACAAGAGGTAACAGATCTGTTTATCTCCTTTTCTCTTTTTCTCCCTCCCTTCCCTTCTCTCTAAAAAATAAATAAAATCTTTTATTTATTTTTAAGTACATTTTATTGATTATGCTATTACAGCTGTCCCATTTGTCTTCCCTTTGTCCCTCTCTGCCTGCACCCTCCCTTCCACCAGCATTCTGCTGATTACTTCATGTCCATGGGTCATACATGCAAGTTCTTTGGCTTCTCCATTTCCTACACTATTCTTAACATCCCCCTGTCTATTTTGTACCTACCAATTATGCTTCCTATTCTCTGTACCTTTTCCCCCATTCTCCCCACTCCTCCTCCCCGCTGATAACCCTCCAAGTGATCTCCATTTCTGGAATTTTGTTCCTGTTCTAGTTGTTCACTTAGTTTGTTTTTGTTTTTGTTTTTTTAGGTTCAGTTGTTGATAACTGTGAGTTTGTTGTCATTTTACAGTTCATAGTTTTGATCATCTTTTTCTTAGGTAAGTCCCTTTTACATTTCATATAATAAGGGCTTGGTGATGATGAACTCCTTTAACTTGACCTTGTCTGGGAAGCACTTTATCTGCCCTTTCATTCTAAATGATAGCTGTGCTGGATAGAGTAATCTTGGATGTAGGTCCTTGCTTTTCATGACTTTGAATACTTCTTTCCAGCCCCTTTTTGCCTGCAAGGTTTCTTTTGAGAAATCAGTTGATAGTCTTATGGGAACTCCTTTGTAGGTAACTGTCTCCTTTTCTCTTGTTGCTTTTAAGATTCTCTCCTTACCTTTAATCTTGGGTAATTTAATCAGGATGTGCCTTGGTGTGTTCCTCCTGGGGTCCAATTTCTTTGGGACTCTCTGAGCTTCCCGGAAGTCTATTTCTTTTGCCAGATGGGGTAAGTTTTCTTTCATTATCTTTTCAAGTAAGTTTCCAATTTCTTGCTCTTCCTCTTCTCCCTCTGGCACTCCTATGATTCAGGTGTTGGAATCTTTAAGGTTGTCCCAGAGGTTCCTAAGCCTCTTCTCATTTTTTTGAATTCCGGTTTCTTCATTCTGTTCTGGCTGAATGTTTACTTCTTCCTTCTGTTCCAAATTGTTGATTTGAGTCCCAGTTTCCTTCCTATCACTGTTGGTTCCCTATATATTTTTCTTTATTTTACTTTGTATAGGCTTTACTTCTTTCTTTATTTTGTGGCCATCTCAATAATTTCTGTGAGCATCCTGATTACCAGTGTTTTGAACCCTGCATCTGATAGGTTGGCTATCTCCTTGTTGCTTAGTTCTTTTTCTGGAGTTTTGATCTGTTGTTTCATTTGGGCCATATTTCTTTGTCTCAGCGCACATGTTATGTTGGAAGGGGCACAGCCTTAGGTATTTGCCGGGGTGGGGCAACCCCCTCTGCTGTGTTATGACACTGTGTGTGGGGGAGGGTGAGAGAGGGAACAATGCCGCTTGCTCAGTTCTCACCCTGCTTTCAGTCACTTCCTCCACTACCCATAAGCAAATTGGGCCCTTCTGTTGCTGATTCCCAGGTTGACGGGTTTGTGTACATTCAAGGACCCTGTGGGTCTCTCCAATGAACTCTCCTGTGAGGCTGGGGGTTTCTCCCACCACCGCAACACCCACAGGTCCTTACAGCCAGAGGTTTTGAGGCTTTCTTTTCCCGCGCTAGAACCCTGGGTTGTGCAGTCTGCCTCACTCCCCAGTTGTTCCTCCCGGCTTATCTGCTTGTGAATGTGAGACTGCCTGGTCTGCCAGCTGCCACCTCATCTGCCTAGTCTGTCACCTTGCTGCATCCTCTCCACCCAGGCTGCCCATCTCTGCCCCTCCTATTAGTTTGGATGAACATTTCTTCTTTAACTCCTCAGTTATTGGGCTTCCATAGAGTTCGATTTTCTGGCAGTTCTGGTTGGTTGTTTTTTTTAAATTTGTTCTTGTCCTTCTTTTGGTTGTGCAAGGAAGCAAAGTGTATCTACCAACACCTCCATCTTGGCCGGAAGTCAAAAATAAATAAAATCTTTTAAAAAGGTAAAAAAATATATAATGTGGATCATCAAAGTCCCCTTAACTGCACTTCCCTCCTCAGAGAGAATCACTCTTGACTGCTGGGTGCAAATTTCTGTCAGTTTTTGTCATGCAAATACATAGATATAGATATAAATATAGATATTTTGTATAAAAGTGAGATAATATTATATTTCAACTAGCTTTTTTACTTATCAGCATGTAGAAACAAAACAGCACATGAAAATCAAAACAGATGGTCCTATGGACCAGCACTGTGCCAAGAGCTTGTCACAGATTTCTTTCCCCCATAAAATATTTATGTATCTTGGCCTGGTGTTCAGGTTAAATCACACAGTAAGGTCATCTCTGTTCTAATGTAAATAGAGCCCTCTGTTAGAACCATGGCCTATAAATAGGCTCCTCTGGATGAACCTTGGATCCGTTTCCATTTTTTCCTTCATTACAAACAATACAAACAAAGCACGTCTTTGAATATTTAAATCTGAGCACTTGTAGAAACATTTCTATGGAGATTCTCAGAGGAGGACAGCACCCCCTCATGTGAACTTTGTAAATATACAATAGAGAATATTTTGGATTGTCACAATGAGAAGGGGGAAATGAGGCATTTTGTGGGCAGGGACCAGGCATGCTGAATATCCAATAAGAACTGTCCCTCCCAAAATGCCAACAGCACCCAGGTGGGAACACTTTGGCTGAGGATGGAAATTGGAGATGGAATTGCTGTCTGAGCTATGAATATTTTTATTGTAATAACTACTGTCAAATGGCCCACAGGGGTTTATGTTTTATGTAAATACTATTATATCTTCTATCTATCCTTTAGAAAGACAGCACCCACACTGAAGTGAGCTCAGCATTCAACTATCACCTAAGTGATCCCAACTGAAGCACCTACTGTGTGCACAGCATGGCTCAAGGCACTGGGATCAGTGATGAACAGGCACAGGTCTGCCCTCACAAAGCTCACATCCTAAAGCCAAACCTCTTTGTCTGGATCACTCAGTCTGTCCCTCTTAAAAGCTTCACTATACTGCATTTTTGTGTTTAGAGACTGTGTCCCTCTGCATCTGAGACCTTTCAGCTTGGGGACCCACTTAATGTTTGCCAGAAGGCTCCGATCGTACCCCACTTCCTGAGAACAGGCGGCTGTGGCTGGAGCCCCTCTTGGTTCTGCCCCTTGGAGGCCCCCAGAATACTTCTGCCCCGGAAACAGCCCCTCTTCTGTGGTCCTCACCCTCCCCATCCCATTCCCTGGATGGACCTGACTGGATCAGAGATGGAGGATGCCTGACCCAAGCTAGGCCAACCAGATTCCACCCATGGAATGGGGATGGAGAGGGTTAAATATGTCTTTGCATGTGGCTCCGTCTGGAATGGGGGGGATCATGGGCTATGGGAGGTCCATTTTCCCACTGTAGACTGTGTAGATTGAGGGGCAGAGGAGAATAAATAGGCAGAGAGTCTGAGCGATGAAATAGAGACAGTCATACTGCTTTCCAGTTCCTGGATCTGTCCTCCTGAGGACCAGACATCCCTTCTACCCCTGGGTCCCAAGAAACACTCCTGGACTGTTACAATAAATTCCCCTTTTCCCTTAAGCCGGTGTGAGCCGGTTTCTGTGTCAGGAGCCCCGCCAGCCCTCTCTGGGACAACAAAGGGATCCACATGTCCCTGAGCCTTCCTGACGTAAAATGAACAGAGAGGAGACCAGACAGCTCTCCTACTCTCCCCATGGGGCTCAGTGTGTGTTTCAGAAGCCTCCACTCAACAGGCAAGTGGGTTAAGCCGCAACCTGACACTTCAGTGGCCCCCTAACTTCAGAGGGGATCCACAGAACTATTTCTGGAGCTGTCTGCCTCAGAAGGATTCAAACTAGAATTCAGGCCTGGAAAAAAACAATATCTAACTGTCCAAAAGCTAGAATTATTTTCTAAAAACAGATTAATTCTGAATCTAGAAAAAAATTATTGTAATTCCAAGTCTCTAAATGGTAATAGGCATTTTGCCTAGTAGGCATTATTCCTATTTGTGAGGATTAAATTAAATAAGGACAGCAGTGCCACATTTAAAATTTTTTTCACCATAGTTATCACACAAAAATCAATAACATCCTCCTTCTTTCTCTGCTTTATACAAGCCTTGCCGTGATATGAACACAAATCCCTAAAAAATGAAGTACCCTTTTCCTCAGTCCAGAAAATGGATGCCCAACCATAAGCAGTGACTTTTTTGGCCACAACCAGCACACAAAAAAAACACAACACATTTCACATCCCATCCCTGTAATCACATACACAGACATCGGGTGAAATAAAAATATGTATCAACTGGTATATCAGGAGAAGCTAAGCTGATCACCACATTGATGTGTAAACATGTGTATACATACGTTCCAAAAAATAAGATCTTTACAATTTGTAGTGCCCTCCAATATTTTCTAGTCTCTTCCATTCTCTTCCATTTCTTAAAAAGTTAGTCAAGGTTTTTACAACCAAGGAGTGGATCCTGAGCAGCTGTTTGAATAACACCGTCGACAGTACTGAACTTGCTCTAGACCAACAATCACAGGCATAGACTCAGACCCAGAATTTACAGGGCTGCCCAGAGTCTGGATACACAGGAAAGGCCCCAACCAGGGACCCCAACTGCCCATCTATGCAGTATGTGGCCAGGGCTGAGGCAGATGGGACAGGCAATCCACTCACCTTAAAACTGAAGGAGCTCACCGGGGATGCACTGAAGCCATACCGCTCATTTTTTGTCAGGCTGCTGTAGTAGTTATTAACCTTGGAGTTGCCATTCTGGTGTGCCCTGGGGTCATCTGTGATGGGACAGATGAAGTAACCTTCATCTTCGTCACTGTCTGCCTCAGAGTCCCCCTCGTGGCTGGCCCCGGCGGTCTGGCCACCATCAACGCCTTCCAGGGGGAAGATGAGGTCTTCATCTGCCATGCTCCCACAGTGCCTGTTGTGCACCAGCGGTGGGCGGTACAGCCAGGGTTCCTGGGCAAATGCTGCGGGGCAGGCCCTGAAAAGGGGAAGCAAGAGAATGGGTGCTGGGGCCCACACAGGGAAGGCTGGCTCACTGGCACCTCACCTGAATGCCACTGGTGATGACAAGAGCCAGCACCCTCAGACTGAAAACTACAGCTATCTTTTTTGGGAAGCACTTGGCAGGCAGCATGTAGGGACATTTTATATGTACAAATCCGTTGACCCAGTAATTCCACCTCTAAGAACTCAGTGCTTAAAACAAGGCAGAGGAACTAAATACTTCTTTAAGCAACTAGAGTGATCTTTTAGGACATTTAGATCAAGTGGTTCCCCTGCTTAACACCCTCTGTCAGCTTCTCTTCACATTCCTGATAAAATCCCAATGCCTTTTAGGGTTCCCAGGCCCGAGTTATCTGGCCTCTGCCCACCTCTCCTCTGGCTAGAGTGGTTCCCAGGTACACTGGCTTTCTTCCTGTTCTGTGAATGTGGGAACCCATTCACCCCTCAAGCCTTTGTATTTGCTGTTATTTGTGCCAGGAACACCCTTCCTAATCTTTCAACATTGAGTTCTTCCTCATATCTAGATCCAAGCTCAAAAGTAACATTTCTAGAGAAATCTTCTCTGACTTCTCAATTCAAAGAGCCCCTCTCATTCCTCAAAAAATTAAAAACAGAACTACCTTGACAACAGCTTCTGCCAGTACTTCTGTCTGGAGAAAGCTGACCTCGCAGCTCCCACCCTGATGCCAGACAATTCAGTTCCTCCCCGTATTCCCTGTTGCCTTTCTAGCTGCTGTCCCAGTGCTGGAACTCAGAACCAGTGAGTCCAAATACAGTCAACCATATACCACAGTATTTAAGTTATGGGGTATCAGAGGAGAAGGATGAAATTCATCAAGGATTTCTGTATCCTCTTCTAGGGAAAAGGCATTACCCTCAAGAAACCTATCACACTCCAAACTTCATCTCAGCATTTGCTGTGCAGAGGTCTCAACTAACTCAAAAGGGCTTACTGTTATTAACTTTGACCAACCTTTCCTTAGCAAAATTCATGAAGCCTGGGGCAGTAACCATCATGCTCAGAAGTTTAAGAAATACATTATGAAGGTAAAAAGAACAATCTTGGGATAGAAAGACATAGAACAAGGACAAATGGCCACCAGTTCCTCGGAGCCATCTTGATTGTCAAAATCAACACATCTAGCAGCTTCTAAGGCAGAGAATTCAAGTGGGAGGACAAAACTTGCTCATTGGAGGCCCCTGTGGCTGGTATTTGGACCACAATTCTTCAACAGTGCTTGTCACACCTAAGGCAACATCAGGGTCCCTTCTGACCAAATGATGGAGTGCAAGTAAAAGGATGTCAATCCTTTGCAGGGTTCCCGCTAGTCTAAACTGCTCCACACAATGGCTTGAAGGAGACACTGTCTACCAAACCAGTAAGTAATGTGCTATAAAAAAGGAACATCAACATCACTAAGAAGCTTCGTGGTGGCTGCTCTATGTGGCCAAAACTGACAGGAAAAGATTCTGTGGCAGGCCAGAGATCACTGAGAGCAAAGGGGATGATTAGAATCTGAAACAAGAGAAGCCAAATGGGCGCAATCATTATAATCAACAGCATAATCAGAGTAGCAGTCAGAGGGTCACAGTCTGGCCCATAGAGGTCTGAACTGGAAGGACAACATGTGGGATGTAACATAGGTCCACTAGATAGATAACATCATGGTTATCTGGCTGGATGAGAAAAAGGTGGCTAACACTTTGGAGGCCTTAGTAAGGCACAAGCAGATGGGTGAGGGTAAGAGATAAACTGAAGATTTGGTGTTCTACTGCATCAATAAAACTTTTATGGCTCCAGTGGTAAAAACAAAACAAACCAAAAAAACCCACAAAAAACCCTATCTTACAACCCAGCAATCCCACTTCTGGGTATTTACCTGAAGAAACTCAAAACAATGATTCAAAAAGATATATGCATGTTTATGTCCACTGCAGTGTTATTTACAATTGCCAAGACATGGAAGCAACCCAAGTGCCCATCAATAGACAAGTGGATAAAAAAGGGATGGTACATATATACAATGGAATATTACTGAGCCATAAAAAAGAATGAAATCTTACCATCTGTAACAACATGGATGGACCGAGAGGATATTATGCTAAGGGAAATAAGTCAGACAATGACAAATACCATGACTTCACTTATGTGGAATCTAAAGAACAAAATAAACGAATAAAACAGAAACAGACTCATAGATACACAGAACAAACTGATAATTGCTAGAAGGAGTGAGGTTGGAAGGCTGGATGAAAAAGGGGAAAGGATGAAGAAGTACAAATTGGCAGTGAAAAAAGTCATGGGGAATACAGTCAATAACATTGTAATAGTTACATATGATGCCAGGTGGGTACTAAACTTATCAAGGGGATCACTTTGTAAGTTATATAAATGTCTAATTACTATGCTGTATACCTAAAACTAATGCGACATTGAATGTCAACTGTAATTGAAAAATAAAAAAAATATTTAAAAAAAGAATCCCTCTCAAACACATATGCAGTCACCCCCCTAGCACAGCCCAAGCTGAAATCATCTCATTTACTTATTGTTTATGTCCCAGTGTCTCAAAGAGTGCCTGGCAGGGTAGGGACTGAATTCATCTCCCCAGAATGAATGAGTGGCTGCAGTGTTCTCAGTAACAGCCCACAATGCTCATCAATAGAGACCTGCTCTACACCATGAGGGGCTATGTGACTGTCCCCATGGGAGTTCTGAACATACACAGACATGCAATATGGTCACAGAAAAGTTCAGGAAGGTTGTAGGATACAAAAAAATCAATATTAAAAAAGACTTTATTTATTTTAAAGAGAGCAGAGAAGGGAAGGAGAAAGAGCAGGAAAGAAACATCAATTTGTAGTTGCCTCTTGTGCACCCCCTACTGGGGGCCTGGCTTGCAATCCAGGCACGTGCCCTGACTGAGAATTGAACCAAAGACTCTTTGGTTTGCAGGTCAGTGCTCAATCCACTGAGCCACACCAGCGAGTACAAAAAAAAAAAAAAAAAAAAATATAAATATTATTTCTATATACTAACAAAAAATAATCCAAAACATGAAATTAGGAAAACAATCCCACCTATAATAGCACCAATAAGAACACTTGGGAATAAATTTAACAAAAGAAGTGCATGACTTGTACACTGAAAAACGAAACATGTTAAAGAAAGTAAAGAAGACCCAAGTAAATGCAAACACATCCTGCGTTCATAGAGCAGAAGATTTACTCCCCAAACTGATCCATAGGTTCAACCCAATCACTGTGAAAAACCCTAGCTGGCTGCTTTGAAAATTGGACCAACAGGTTCTAAAATTCACAAGGAAATTCAAGGGACCCAGAACAGCCAAAACAACCTTGAAAAAAGAAAAACCAAGTTGGAGGAGTCACAGTTCCTGAATTCAAAACTGAGATATAGTATTCAAAACAATCGGGACTAGCATAGGACATACATATAAATTAATGGATTGGAACTGAGAGTCCAGGAATGAAAGCTCACATTTACGGCCAACTGATTTTTGACAAGGTTACAAAGATCATTCAATGGGGAAAGAATAATCTTTTCAACAAATGGATCTGGGACAAACAGATACATGCTGAAAAAGAATGAAGTTGAAGCCCTTCCTTACCCTATACACAAAAATTAACTCAAATGGGTCAAGACTTCAATATAAGGCCTAAAACTCTTTCAGAAGAAAAATGAAGAAAAAAAATCTTTGTGACTTGGGTTAGGCAAAGATTTTTTAGAAATCACACCAAAAACAAAAACTACAAAAGAATAGATGAACTGGACATGAAAACTAAAAACTTTTGTGGTTCAAAGGATACCACCAGGAGACTGAAGATATAACTCACAGAATGGGAGAAAATTTTGCTCATAATATATCTGATAAGGGATTACATAAATAACTCATATAACTTAATAATAAAAAAGACAACCCCCCCAAAAAATGGGCAAAGGTTTTGAATAGACATTTCTCTATAGAAGATATACACATGGCTGAAAAGCACATGAAATGATGCTGAACGTCATTAACTATTAGGGAAGTATAAATCAAAGTCACTAGGATCGATGTGATTTTAAAAAAATGGAGTATCTGTTGCCATTCCCTTCTGGCTTGTAGTGTTTCTGTTGAGAAGTCAGCTCCTAGGTGTATCGGGGCCCCCTTGTATGTTACTTTCTCCTTCTCCCTTGCTGCCTTGAGGATTCTCTCTTTGTCTTTGACATTTCCATTTTAATGATGATGTGTCTTGGAGTGGACCTCCTTGGGTCCCTCTTGAGTGGAGTCCTCTGTGCCTCCTGGATCCAGGAGAGCCTTTCTCTCCTCAAATTAGGGAAATTTTCCATCATTACTTTTTCGAGGAGGTTCTCTATCCCTTGTTCCTCTTCTTCTCCTTCTGGTATCCCTATTATACGGATATTATTGCGTTTCAGGTTGTCCTGCATTTCCCTAAATGCTTCTTCATTCTTTTTGAGTCGTTTTTCCATTTCTTGTTCTTTCTGGGAGCTTTTTTCTACCTTGTCTTCCATCTCACTGATTCGATCCTCAGCTTCATCCAGCCTGCTTTGGATTCCTTCTACTGTGTTCTTCAATTCAGAAATGGTATTCTTCATATCCTCTTGTGTCTTCTTGATAGTTTCTATGTCCTTTTCCAGGCTGATATAGTTTGCTGTAAGATCCTGATAGTTTCTCTGCAGTTTCTCATAGTTATCTTTGAGCTGGCTGAGCTCATTGAGCTTCCTTAGAACCATTGTTTTGAATTCCATATCTGATAATTCCCTTGCCTCTATTTCATTTAGCTCTCTCTGTGGGGAGTCCCCTTTTCCACTCATTTGAGGGGAACTTCTTTTTCTTCCCATTTTTGTGAGAGTCTGTTAAGTATTTTTGTCCTTTACTTTTCTTTCTGGGCTTGCCTCTGATGATGTCAGTTGTTGACCCTATACAGCCTTGGGTTGTTTGTTTGAGCCTTTCA